AAGAACCATTTTCGTTTTATCCAGAATGAAGAATTGAAACGATTAATCAATTCATGATAAATACTTGCTTTGATATCTCAAACGGACCATAACACTTAGCAATGGAAATACGAGTTAAACTGAGTATAGTATGAAATATGTCTTTTACAACGTTTTCTTTCGATTCATTCACTTGTTGAGAAGTTAAACGACAGAGTTGTGGTATATATGAAAGTGTAGCAATTAATTCATCGAGACTACAAGTGAGAAAAATGATAACTTGTTATAGTTTAACATTGGTAAGTTGAAAATGATTTGATATATATTGCTAACCTTCTTGAAATCATCATTATAATAGATAGTCAATGATAATAGACGAGGTAAAGAAATTAAATTTATAAGAAGGGGTGTGAGTTTATTTGATTTCATATTGTCTAAGACAAGTGATTCGAGTCGACTAAATGATGAATCGATGTTAAATCGTGTAAAAGTTGAATTATAAAAAATAAAAATTGGTTAAACTAAGTGAAATAATTTGATGTTTATTCGAAGTAGCAATGCAAGTTGAACGGCCTTGTTTGACAGCTTGTGGATGAAAACGAAGATCAATTTTTAATCGAAGAAATGAAAAAGTGAGTAGAGCTCAAAAACGAGTATTAGGATTTGAAAATGCTCCAAATGAGTCGTCTTTTTGTGATACCTCAAACCTTACGCTCGAAAACTCACCCAAATCCACACGCTCACTCAGGCCAACACTCATACCAACATCTATACCCCCACAATCAAGCATACCCATATTCACCTTATGAAGATTCATTAAGTGGTACTAGAAATCTTGATAACTATATCTCTACAGAACTCTCTTAAACATCACAGCTGACTATCTTTATCTGTTTTCCCTATACAAGAATTGTATCTCTTTTGAGGATGAGCTATTTAAACTGGAGTAGGAATGTAACAACTGCTGAAGAAAATAATAGTGAAACGTGTGAAATAAATTCAGCAATAGTTTTTCTACGTTTTTCTTTTGTGCTGTTCATTTTAATAAAAAATGTAAGTTTAACAAATGTTCTTATATGCGAATTTGAAAAATTCTGAACACTATTTTTTTAATATTCTAGTGTGTTTCTAATATTTCATGAAACTCTGGTAATTTTCTTATGATGACTATCAGATTTTTTCACGAATATAAATTTTCCCATAATGGCTTGATGATGTTACTCATAAGGCTCATGAAAGTGAAAAATGAGGTGATTTCGTGTTAAATATATATATATATATATATATATATATATATGTAACACTTACCTACGAGATTTATCAACTCAATTATCAAGTTTTCTTAAAAATAAAAAATAAGCAGCTGTAATTATAAGATGTGTCGGTGTATTTTATTGTTATGTGCAGAATACGTCATGCTCTTACCCTTGACAATATAAACTATCAATCATATTGCTCGACAATGTTTTTTTCTATATACTTTTAATTAATTTTATTGATGGAGTAATTGGTAATGTTCTAAATATTTTGATTTTTTTTTCTTCTGAAAAACTTTTCAAAGTAACTAATGTGTATATTATCTTATCTTCGAATTTTCTATCAATTTTTGTCATTTAAATCTTCTCTTAGTAGTAGGCCGTATTTTAATTACTATAAATGCCATTGATCCAGTGAATGTTTTCCTTTTCAGATGTAAATTAAAAGTAGATGCGGATTTAACATTCTTACTTATGAGCGTTACAATACTATGTTTTGCTGTTTTATTTACTTTGACTGCTTTTTACATTTGTAGTTATTTTATGTGGTATTTATTCTAATATTTTATCACTAAGAGAATATGTCATTTCTAATCCAGTGATATCTATTTATACATCAGTTTTTATTTATCAAATTTTTGTGTTATATGATTCCTATTATTATATCATCAACGTTCAGTCTCTTAGATTTTCTTAATGTTCTCTACAGTATTCAACAAATAATCTGAATTATGCAGTATTTTTAGCTTCTTCATCAAGATATCGTCGTCGAATGAAGTATGTATTGGCAATAATCATCTGCGTCATGATCACAGGCATGACTACTAACGAGATTAGAAGAATAAGTCGAGTAGAGTGTTTTGTTCAGACTACGATGGAGATCTCTAATTGACAAGAAAACGTTAGTGACTATGTCAAAGATTTCAGATCCAGTTTTTATCTATTAGAGTAATATCGACATCATATAGTATTAAAATAAAATAACAAAAAACGAACTTTTTATTGCAATAGAACATGATGTTTGAACTCACTCTTGGAAAAAAAATATTATAGATGAGATTCATTTGGAAACAGGGCTAGATACGGAAAGCTATCAGGTACAGATTTATAAAGCATTTCAGAAAAATATCAAAGATTACTTAGGTCATTTTGTAATTATATTTTACACTTTCAATACATTTTGATTCTCTAGTCATCAGCGTACGAATTGACTTCATGTGTTGAGGAATGTGTAGCAACAATAAATAATCTTAAGTTGACCTTTGTTTTTGAGATAGTTTTATTTTTAATGAAGATGTAATCATTACGATTTATTTTCACTATATTGAAACAATATTAAAAGTTATCATTTTGTTGTTAATCACTATTGTCTTATTTTCAAGAATGGTTATTTATTGGTTGTTTTTGGTGCTCTTCCTTTTCTTGAATGTGAAAGACACAAGTTGTAATACAATAAAGAAAAAATTAAGCAATACAGACATTTTTGCACTTGCACCTTCATGAACAAAGTCATTCTATACAAATATTAGCTAAACTAACTGTAATATCAACTGATTAATCAGTCGATGAGATAATAAATAGTTTTTCTTGTGATATATTTAGTTATCATCAAATATTCATGACTCCTCTTTGTATAACCTACAATGTTTAATGTTAAGAGTGCATTGAGTACAGAAAAGATACTCGTTTCTTTTGGAATATGTACTGACAACATTCAATTAATTTCTATGGGTTGGTTTTGATGATGAAAGAACACGTGTTGAAAACACGTGCAAGTCAATGCATACATTCCATTGACTTTTTTGTCTTCCTACATTCATATACCACAACACACACAGATTTTTTCTTTTCGTTCTATTCTGAGGTCAACGCAGACATTTCTTGTTCTATATATATATATATATATATGTTGGTTTCTGAACGTACAACATAAAAAATGGATGTAATTAAAGATACTGTTAATAGTTTAATCGGTCGAAAACCGGCTGGTCCCAAAGTTCGATATGCTGTTGTTGGAGCAGGATCAATTGCTCAAAGTGCTTTCATGCCTGGTATTCTAGAAACGACTAATTCAGGTAAATAAAATTTGAGAAAACTAAAGATTATTTGAGACACTACAAAAGTTTTTGATTTTTTTATGCATTTAAATGAATTAGAATTCATATTTTCCATTTGTATATATTGGTATAAGAAATAATTGAATTTAATTTTTTTTTGTTTTTGAAAAATCTATTCTTTACTATAATAATTAAATTGTTTTAGAAATGACTGTGTTATGTAGTGATGATGCCGAAAAACGTGATCAATTAGCAAAACAATACAATTTAATACCATATTCATATGATGAATTTGATAAAATGTTAGATAATCATGAATGTGATGCTCTTTATATTGCTACACCAAATTTTCTTCATATAAACCATGTTGTTCCCGCACTCGAAAAAGGTTTATTGAATAGATGATTAAAATTATTTTATATTATTATATTTAGGTTATCATGTTTTATGTGAAAAATTGATGGGATGTAGTGTAGAAGAATGTGAAACTATGATGGCTGCTCAAAAGAAAAGTGGTGCCAAATTAATGATTGCTTATCGACTTCATTGTGATCCAGGCAATTTAGAAGTACTTGAACGAGTACGAAAAGGAGATTTTGGTGATCCACGTATATTTATATCAATGCATACACAAAATCTTCGACCAGATAATCATCGTGCTAAATATGGTATATTTAAATTTTTGAAATATTTAAAATTCATAAATGGAATAATAAAAACTAATGTACGATAATTCTTTTTTTTTGTTGTTCTTTCTATTTGTAGGATTTGATTGTGGTCCTGTTCCTGATATGGGTCCATATCCAATTAATGGTTCACGTACTATGTTTGGAGATGAACCTATTGAAGTTCAAGCTATGGGATTAAAAAATTCTGAACATAATTTAGAAATGGAATATGATACAGTTGCTGTTAATATGAAATTTCCGCGGGATCGAGTAGCATCATTCGTTGTTGGATATTCAACAGTTTTGACTACATTTTATCGTATTATTGGTACACAAGGTATTCATTTTATTTCTTAAAAATAATTATATTGAAATTGAAGAATTTTAATATGTGTTCTGTTTTTTTTTCTAGGTGAAATTATAGTAGATCCAGCATTTAATTTTGATAAAGCTGTTTCATATACAACTCGATTTGGTGAAGGTGGTGAAGATGAAAAAAAGAAAAATTTTCCGAAAGTTGATCAATTTGGTGGTGAAACTGAATATTTTTCTGATTGTATTTTGAAAAATATTGAACCTGAACCAAATGGTGAAGAAGGTTTATTAGATACACGTGTTGTTTATGCTATTAAAAAATCACTTGAAACAGGCAAACCAGTTAAATTAGAACCATACAATCGACTTAGACGAGCTCAAATGGATCAAGTACGATCGGTTTCATTTGGTAAACCGCCCAAACAAAAGGATGTTATTGGTCGTGATTCGGCAAAACCAGGTTTAGATGCTACACCAGACACTCGTTAAACACATCTTTCATTATAGTTCTTTTTTTGTTTTTCGTCATTGTCAATAAATAAACCTGCTATTAATTTGTAACCATAAATTACAAAATAACATTCATTGATATTTGTATTAATACAAATCTACTAAGTGATGGATGATATGAAATAAATGTTGACATTCTCACATAATTTAACATACTACTCCTATTTGCATTCTTCTCTTGGCAAGGTTTTTGAAAGATATATTATTTTTTTCTGATATAAAAATGTATTACTCTTTACAATAAAATGTTTTAATTAATGTTCTGTCGGAGACGATTTTTCACACTCACACTCGAACGGAATCTAATCGATATCCGGTAGATACTTTCATAGTCATAGTACAGTTTGCAAACTTTTATTTTATATGAAAAAGTATACAATTTAGTTTCTTCCATAAACAGCAACAACAAAAAAAAGAGATCATCACAAATTCTACAAAAAAAGCAAGTGATGCAGGATTCACTTAGTGTCTTTCTGCTTCTAAAATCAGATCAAGTTCGCTAAGTATCTGTTTGCTTGTTACTGGTGAAGCTAGAATGGAACGCAGTGTTGGTGTCAAAGGTCACAATTGTGGATATATATACACGAATACTTTTTCCATCACGATAATACATGTTCACCTTTTTAATAGTTCAATTTCTTCTCCATCTATTCAATTACTTCATCATATAGTTCCTTGTCATCTGTAGATCAATTTTAATTCAAAACGAATTCTATCAGTAAAAAAAGAAAATATCGCTTTTCAATTCTGTGATCTATTCTCAAGTTCAATAATTCCTATGCTTTTATACATATCGCTGGTAGGACACTAGATTGTAATCTATGTTTAACTAGTACTAAAAAAAGCAAGATAATTTTACCCCACAATGTATTTTACGTTTATCGAAATAATTTTATTCATTTGGTTCGCTAAATGAAATTCTCTCAATCAACATGACAAACAACAACTCAAGTTATAGCATATTCAATATCATCAGAAAGTACAATATTTCAATGACATTATTATTTAAAACACGATGTCATATTAGATCAAATCATTACTTTCTTTATAGTTTGTATAGTATATGTTACAAGTTTAACTATTATTATAATCATTATTATAGATATTATTCAAAGTTTTTATTGATCATCTTCGAAGTAAAGGAATAAAAAGAACGATTAAAATTTAGATATAAACAGACAAAATTTACTTAGTGAAAGTAGGTTATGTATTGATTGTTTCGCATATTTTTTTTTTCGTCATATTATTAGTTTGTTTTGTATATTCATTTAATATTTGAAAAAAAAATATCCAATAAAAATAAAAACACTGAATTTATATTTTGTATGTGATATATCATTGATAAATGCAAAATTTCAAACAAAGTTAGGATAATTATCTATACATGTTATAGAATGCGAACAAAAAGTTATTTTATTTACTAGAAGTAGTCAAACATTATATTTGAATATAGATTTTGTAGATACAACACTAAATGCAATTCAATGCTTTCATTTTATCATTTTGAATCGAACAACAATTTTTTTTGTCTGAAATAAAAACTTACATATCCACAGAAAAAATTTTTGAATAAAATTGCGGAAATCAGACCATTTATTCAGTTTTTACAAACCGGTCAAAACTGCAGTGCGAACTAAGTTTTGCTATTGGAATTGTGGTTGTCTCTATTCTCACCGCGATTTTGATCGGTTCAAAAAAAACCGATTAAACGGTCTAACTTTCGCGGTTAACTACAAATTCTAAACAATAGTTCAATATTAAGGTTAGCCATTATCCAAGTGTGTTTTTACTCACAAGACATTTCAATTTCTGTTTATATTTTTCAAAGATAATTTAATGAGCATACGTCATCTATTCCATACAAATACATATTTTTTTGAAAAAGAATCGATTGAATAGTTAGAATAGTTCCATCGTACGTGTTGTGACCTTATTTTTACCATACACATGCGGTTTCTATGCTTATTCATAAAATTGTATCTCAAAGTTATTTCCTTGCAATAATTTCATATATATATATATAACTATTGAACTACTATCATTTTTGTTTCTATTTATTGCGAAATAGAACTTTATCTAATAAATTAGTCGTACATGAATATATTTGAACCATTTATTGTTGTCAGTGGTAAACTCGTAATTTGTCAATAGTATCTGAAGAGATAAATATATTAGCTAAATATAGAGAGATAACAAAAAATCAGATTTTTTTGTCGAAATTGACTACAACTATCAAAACTAATGCAAATAATCTGTATACGACCAAGCTTGACATTACTAAACTCAGTTGATATGTATAATTTTCAGAATCATCAACATATATACATATATGAAGAAAAACAACACATGATAAATGTCTTTGTAAACGATGTTAATGTTCTTTTTTTTTTAGATCTTTAATACTTCAACAAGTGAACAATTGGGCCTCTTTATAACAGTTTATGAAAAAAAAGAATTTCTATTTTCCTTGATTCAATTGTTGAATCAAGAATTATCACTACTAAACAAACTTGTAAAGTTTTAAGCATCGTGCTTAGTATACATGCCATATCTTTGCAAACGAGATTCTTAACTTGATTATCGTTCAGTTGATTGGAATGACATATGGAGGTGCACAACTTCTACTTTAAATGTTCATGAAAAAAATAACACTGACTCATCTGAAAATGAACTAAAGAAAACCTAAATAAATAAGAAATGTCAATCTTAGCTGATGCATCTATTTATCATAATCATCCTTTCAAATACCTACATTATGACAATAATATAATAAAAAAATGAGCCGTATGATGCTTTACTTAGTCGAATGTAAAAGTATAACTTGCTATTATACATACATTATGCACAAGAAACTGCAATCTTTCGAAGATAGGAAATGAAAATCTTTGAAAATTTATATGAACGAAGTTATCCACGAGGAACTAACACTTTTCTATTTGTTAAGTCGAATGCTGTGTGCGAATATCATGCAATATTCATACTACCAGTGGTTTTCCAAGTTTCTATTGATAAGTCATACAATCTTATGACATTGCTGCTTTTTGTTGACCAAGACAACAAAAAAAGTGTATTTGTCAAATGGGAAATCCAGACATAATGGCCATTTTAAACTTTCGGATCGCTAATTATCAACAATTTCGCCTCAGTCAAAAAGACATTTCTCTATCCATGAGATATATTTACAAATTTTTGTTAGATTGATCAACATTTTATTACTTTTAAGTTGCAACATTACTAATTGATTTGAAATGTTAACTTCATTTGAAATTTGCCTATTAAAAGAACGTGATCGTCCTCTATCCATAAGAACTTTCCTATTTTAATCTATATTTAAGTTGTTACAGCAGGAAATCATCTGATTTAGATTCTAATGCTCCAATCATTCGTGCAGAAAATCTTGTTCCATTCCTTGGCTGAGGTTCTTAGTATTTATCTTGAAGATTTAAGTACATCAGAAATTATACAATTACAGATTTTAACATTATGAAAGTTAGCTTCACTTCAATCATCATCGAATGATCGTAACTGGTATTTAACGAAATCATTCGAAATTCCAGGTTCAATTGAAAAATATATTCATGTTATTATCTGTAAATCTAAATTATTATAATCAATTAGTTTTATTTCATTTTCAAAGTACAAATAAAAAATTTAGTATTCATTTTAGAAATGAAATAATTGATGCTAAATATCAATGGTTTGAAAATGTTCATTCAAACCCTATTGATATAGTTATCAAATAGACAAAAGAAGAGATTTCGACACAATTGTATGTATGAAAAGTTCTATGAGGTCTCTTTCAAACGACGAAATAATATTTAAAGACGGAAACGGAAAAATAAATCCAGAACTAGTAGTCCTATTTCTTACGTTCTTATCTATGTTTATAGCTAAATAATTTACTATCTCTATATGTTGAATGATGACCATGTCCTTTTTTCAATAACAAGAATATTCCAAGAACATATTGAACCTTCAAAAAAACTTCTTGCTACTAGAATTTGCAGTTTTTAGTAAAAATTGCTTGAAAATGCCCAATATTCAAAACATGGAATTTGATCTAAAAAAATTGAGATGAATATCTTTAAGAACATATAATGCTTACACTGGTATAGTTTCATTACTCATGCAGTATTGTCAAGATATCAACACAGTTGAAATCATGTTATTTCGGTGGTTCATAACGTATCTAACCGCAAGAATCTTGTTGCATATCGACCCACATGGTATTTCATTTTCAGTATGAATAAAAACGTTTGTCTTCTTATGCGGTGCTGTAGAATATAAATGGCAACGTAGATAACTCGATAAAGTGCTCTTTGTGAATCTAGAAAGATTATAAGAATCAAAAAGAACGATACCTCATTATACAATTAGTATTTCTCAGTTTCTATCTGCGATAGACCTTACAGACATCTGCATTGTTCTCCAACTATTCATTAGAAAACAAAAGATGTTTGACTACAAAGATATTCTAGCAATCAACTATAACCAACGATGATTGACCTCAATAGTTACCGTTCTTTATTTAGTTTAATTCCAACGCAACACTCATTTATATTTCATAACAAACTAAAATTCGAATACAGAATAATAAATTTACTTGGCATGCAAATTATTTTCTAAGCAAAAGTCAACTTAGAATTTAAATAAGTTTACTTAGCAAAATAATAATAGTCTTTTCATATTATATAATAAATACAATAAAGTGAAAGATCTTCTCTTCGATGCTTAATGTTTTTTAACAAAATTAATAAGAGAATTAGAAATCTTTCCATGAAATAGAATAGTATTCTTTTGTATTAATCTTGCACATAAACACTTCAAACTAATTTTCGTTCTAGCTCTAAGAAATTGCTTCATATTTGAATCTGTTGCAATATCGATGGGTGTCTCTCTTAAAGCATTAACACAATCTAGATGAACACCAGCATCACAAAGATATTGGATTATAGTATCATCAACTACATTTGAGTTGGAAACAAATATATGAAGTGGTGTGTTTCGAATAACATCTATTGCATTCACATCAGCACCACATTGTAAAAGTAAACGAACTGTATGTAAACATGGATATCTATAATAATAGATAATCTTTCACAAATAATTATTTAATTTAAAATCGAAAACATACTTGCAAATGAAATCGATGAAATAATCATTTGCAGATGTATGATTATTTAGACTTAAATGTAATAGAGAAGATCTATCGGTTTGAGTAACATACTGATGTTGAACAATGATACGAATTTGTCGATAAAATATTTGACGATCATTATGTGAAATTGTTGATTTTGATGGGATCTGAATAAGAAAATCTCGATAGAAGAAACAAAGAATTTCTGCTAAACATATCAATACCTGACTAATGATTGTTATTAAGAAAAGTAAAGTATGTAAATTATAATCAAAGTCCTTCTTATTATGCTCCAACTCTTCAAGTATTACTGTTATTACTGTCTGCCAAGGCACAATCGGTATTGATAATGATTTTCGTATCATGTCACTAAAAATCGAAGCCCATTGACGCAAATCATTGGTGTCTATAGATAATGAGTACTGTTGACGTAAGCTAAGTTCATACAACCAAAAATCAACTCCTCGATGATGCTGTGCATTATCAGCTAGAAGGGCACCACGAAATCGAAGAGAACGACAGTATCTTGCATTAGTAGGTCCAAGCAAACGTTCGCGCACAAGTAACGCTTCTATGTACATATGATCATCATTTAATCGAAGTTTTTCTAACTCATCGATTGTTTGACATTCTTGTCGATTATCAAGTACTTCTACAGTTGATAGTCTTAGAACTTTAGAAAGATTATGTTGAGATCGAAGTTCAAGTGCTCGATAGAAGTATTCAAATGATTTTTCAAAATTAGAAATTCCATGTTCACGACAGGCAAAAGCACTTCCAAGTAATTCTTGCGCTTCGATTTGTTCAAGTAATGAACATTGTGAAGAAATAGCATCGACAAGATCAATTCGTCTCTTTTCAGCTGCTAATAATAGTGGAGACATGTGAATATCGTTTGGTCGAAAATTTCGAGCACCATGATTCAACAAAAATTGAACTAGTTCAAGTGAACCACGGCCTGCAGCAAAATAGAGTGGTGGACGTCCATCATCCGTCGATTCATTCACATCACAACCTAATTCATCAACAAGATAAGTTGTCATTTTTAAATCTTCATTGTAAACACTTGCAATAAGATTCGTTTCATTATGTATTTTGGTAATATGTATATTAGCACCATTCTCATTCAAATAACGAGCCATATCAATATTACCATTGCAACAAGCACAACGAAATGCTGTTGAATTTGTTTTAGTTGTGTGATTAACTTGAGCTCCATGTTCGACAAGTAGTTTCACAATTTGAAAATTATCGATGGCAGCTGCTGCCCATAAAACGGTTACATCTTGATACATTAATAAACTTCGATCTTTTTCAACTAGCTGGACATCATTTACCACTTCGAGATCGAGTTTGGAATAATTAAGCAATATTCGTACTATGTCTTCGAACTTATTTGAACAAGCAATCATAAGTAAAGTACATTTTTGTTTGTTCGGTTCATCATATATTCGATTTAAGTAGATCTCAGGATTGCTCATTGTTGACAAATGACTTTCGAGTGCTTTGAAATCTCCTTGATGGACAGCCGATAATAACAAGTTATTCACTTCATCCTTGAAATCATCATTGTATTTCATCATAGTGGTAAATGCATACAAATGAAAAATGATGTTTTACCTTGCATTTATAATCACACATACAAGTTGCATTTTGTTTTTGCATTTTTCTTCTGTTCTTCTGCTTCCTTGCACGATGTAAAATGAATCATCGTGCATACAGAAGAAAAAGAAACATTTTAACTAAACAGAACAATAAAAAAAAAGATATCTTGTGTCTAGTTTTTTTCTTTATCCAAAATATTTGATAGTCAAATATATCTCGAAGGCGAAAGTGAGTGTGGTGTGTTTACAAAATATCTATATATTATCACAAATTAATTTGCCAGTTTGGATCAAACATGGTTCATTTGATTTGAAAGTAACTGTATTCATTTGATTCTTTGATAACATTAATGATGTGTTCATGAGATTTTTACCTACTATCTTATTATAACGATCTAATGTGTAAGATGATTGACGAAGAATGGAAAGAAAGCTTTACTGACCCAAACTAATTCAAAATGTGACTCTTATTGTTCTTGAAAACTGTAGGATATTTGAATTCCCTCGATAATCAATACCTTAAGTTGAGAATCGGTTAAATTTTGAAATTTACAGTGATGAATTATATTTTATTATTTTCGAATCATACTTGGTATCTGTTCATCAAAGAACTCAGTTTTGTATGTTCAAAATCAGGAGATAACCATGAGTTGGCTAATTTGACTTATAAAATAAATGAAGACTTAAAAACTTCATATCAGCTGAAAAATGACTGAAAAAAGCTCGAGTTGGAATTTCACTATGGAAACAGCCCAAAATAAGTTTTTAGTGAACTATAACTTTAATTAGAAATAGAAACGATTGTAGAGATTTAGTGGATAGGTTAAGATTGATTTGAGAGACCGAATGACACACGACACATCATTGAAGTGAAGGTGAGAGCAGAAGACCTTAGACAGGATATTTTGTCAGAGTGCAATAAAGTCCTTACTTGAATTATAAATAATATAATATGAAAAAGGGTATGGTTGTCGGCTCAGTTGAAGGAAAAGCTTCTGTGTTCATATTAGAAAGGTTATAATAATAAGCAGAATTGTAAAAATAGTATTCATATTCAGAGTAAGAACGTGTTTTCTGACAGAGGTATAACAGAAAATATGAAGTAAATTTGCAATTCTATGGTAAAAGTATCTCGAAAGAATTATTAATAAGTAATTATTGCTCTCTTGTTGCATAGGTAACGGAATATTTTGATTTTAGGATAGACTCAACATTTTTTTATCAGATCCTCATCGGAAAATCAAAAATGAGAGAAGACGAGTTTTTGAATGTCACTTAGATGAAATATAGTTAGTGATATTGCAACGAGTAACAGTGGTGGAGATCAGCAAAAGAATTCTCAACTTGCGTAAAAAAAAACATGCGAATGTTTATGTTCATTGATATGCTACTTTGAAAAGAAGAAATTCTGATCTTCTTTATCCTGAACAACGTTAATAGGAGATGTAGAAATGTTCTAGTAAGAATAGATATTGCATTGTTAGTTTTTACACTGTTAAAAATGTTCAATCGGCATGTAATAGTTAATCTATTTCAGTTTTTTTGTACAGTTCTTCTTCTTTTATAATGAAGAATCCCTACTTCAATTCATTAACAATGTATGATCCAATATTTAGTTGTATAAAATTCGATGCTTCTTTAAAGACTTTTTTAAAGTCTGCTTGATTCAAAAGATGTTATTATTTTAGCTACTTGAGGCGGCGAAAAATATTGGCGTTTATACAAAAATGTAGTGCGCTGCACAAATCTATAAATCTGATGGAAGAAGAAAAGTATTTGAGTTTACTCTATTACACGAAGCGTGTATCTAGTGTAGGCTTTTGCTTTTCCGAGACTTGTGACTTCACTGCCTATATCTTGTTGTATAAACACAAGAAAGACGAGTAGTATAAAAAGAAAAAAATAGATATTCTTCATATGTAAATGATGAATACATAAAAGAAGAACGAAATCATTCATAAAATTTTGTTATTGTTTTCATGTTGATAGGGTGAGCTTCTAAGATGACGATGTGGATGTGGGAGGATATGAATATGTGGGTGTAGGTATGCATTTTCTTTTCCCCCGCATCCACATCCAAAAATGTTCTTTTTTTTGTCAATCAATTCCATTGGTTGATTGATGTTCATCTAATTCTTAGTGTTTGAAGACAATTGATAGCGAATTCTCTGACAAAGTATATAGAGGATCGTATCAAATAATGATTATTCTATAGACTAAGAAAGTAACAGTACTATTTTATCTCATCCTATACAAAAATCCTATTGTTATAAAAACAATAAATCAAATAAATTTTAGCTGTTCGTTATTATAGTAAATTGTTTTAAAAAGTATTTTCATTAAATTACTATTTTTATACGAAAATAAAAAATATTTTTTGTTCAAATATCTTTTAATAATCGACCAGATTTTCTTAATTCTTCTGCATTTGATTTTTCTGGTTCAGATAACCAAAATAAATTATTTTCTAAAAGACCAGCTAAAACAAAAGCATGACCCATTTTTGGTTTTGGCATATTAATAACTTGTTCTAATGTATAACCTTGTCCTAAATGATCCCAACCATCAAAATCTAATAATGCCATAGGTTTTTTATGTTTATCATTTTTATCTTCACAACAATATTTTATATAAATATCATTTAATTTTTTATATGCATCTGTTTGTTCAACATATTTTGCATATAATGGTGCATAGATTATTTTACGTGCTTCAATATAATTTAATTTTTTTCCATTCCATAAAGAATAAAGTGGTTTACTTGCTTTACGTCCAAGTGGAAAACGATGTGGTTTAGAATCATTCCAACCATTTTCAGCCCATTGCCAATAGGCTTGTGACGGTGAATAACCATCTGTATCAGTAAATTGTTTATAAACTTTACAGAATTGCCAAGCATTTTCCATATTTTTTGCAATGAACATTTTACCATCTTTATTATTTGAATATAATTCAATTGGACCTAAGAAAAATGGACTAAATTCTGAACACCATTTTTCTTTTGTTGTTGATGTAACATTATAAACAAGCCAATTTTCATTTGTTAAACATGCTGGTTTAGGACGACGCATAGCAAATATCCGTATATGATCTAATGATAATAATAATGATAGATGACGATTTTCTTGAGAATGTATTGCATCTCCAAGATTCGTTTGTTTTGCTTGTTTAGATTTTTTATCAGAAAATGGATTTTTACGTTTTTTTTGTGTTGCAGACGCCATGTTGTGTTTTTCTTCAAATGATCGGTAGGGTTTTATGTCAGTTGAGTCATCATGTAATTACATCATACTGTTACGAAAAAAAAAGAAATAAAAGGAAAGAAAGAAAAATAACGTGAGTATCAACGTATGTTAACCTTGTCAGAAAAAGAAATAACATAAGTACGTCGCAGTGTTTTTAGTTGCCGATCAAAGCGGGAGGAATCAACATTGATGTTATTTGACTATAGTATACTATTCATCATGATTTCAAAAAATACTGTCTAAAACTTTCTTTTACTAATTGATTGCCTCTGCAAAAAGAATAATAAACCTGACTGATATGTATCAAGCATTTTTACGATTTTCTTTTCTACTTTACAGGATTTTCGTTTATATATAATCTCACTATATTCGTCCAGACACCAGTTAAAAGAAATTTGAAACAAGTGAATTTAGCTGATATATATGGAAATATCCTAGAACAACTGTTTGATGTGCAAATAAATATTTATAAAAAAAAAAAACGTCAAAGTTGTGAACGAATTTATAGCACTTATGACTTACTAGAATTAAAAAAAATTATTCTTGGATCATAAGCTAGTCCAAAAGTGATTGTTTCTGTTACTGCTTTGCCTTAACTCACAAAATTCTTGAGTATGCCTCTCTAGATTCATCGGAATTTTTCGTTAGATGCCATAAAAATTTATGTATGAAATGGATCTTAGATCTTCCTTCTCCTACATCGAGTTATTTGTGCGAAAAAATCTTTCTAAAAGAAACTGTTCTTCGTGTTATTTTTTGTAGTCGTTATTGGAAATATCAATTGTTTTCAGTTACAATGAATATTTTCCATCGAAACATATTAATATGACAATCCGAAGTCTTCTTTTTTTAAAAACATTTCATTATTAGTGAGTTTGTAATAATGCCATTTCGAGTTCTATAAATGGAAATTAAACTGTCATACACATTAATGTAATAAAGGACTGTTTTATAGGCTTATGAATTATAAATTTGTATGAAATTGTGGCGTTTTCTTTTGGAAGGTCTAGTGTCTTAGAAAAAGGCAAGCAGTTTAATATAAACGCTATTTTAAAAA